GCGTTTGTCTCGAAACTCCATTTGACCATCCCTCCCTTTTAGAACACTTTTAAACTCCCATTTTTTCGTGAAGTCATTTCATCAAACATTGTAACAGCTATTATTCTCGATCATGAGTAAATCTTGTGATAAGAGCTCAAATGATGAACCCATTTCATTGGAAGTGAGCTTTGAGGATCTTAGCATCAATAACAGTCCAAGCATTGATTTTTGTAGCAGTACTGTAACTGGGTCTGATAATGTTAGTGTAGGCAGTAGTAAAATAAGTGATGCAGGTTTGGTGGATTTTAAGAATGTTAAGGTGAATGAAGGTGAGGAAGAATATGTGAACAGTGGGAAGAGTAGTTTAAGTTCCGTTAGTATTTGTAATAGTGTGGACGTGAATGAAGCTAGTTTTAGGAGTGTTTGGTCATCAAAACCTCACGGGGGGAATGACTCGCGGTGGGTTGCAATACAAAGTGTGCAGCCTAGAGATGAAGAGTTGGGTATAAGGCATTTTAGGCTTCTGAAGAAATTGGGGTTTGGGGATATTGGGAGCGTTTATTTAGCGGAGTTGAGGGGTACGGGATGCCTATTTGCTATGAAAGTAATGGATAAAGGGATGTTAGTCAATAGGAAGAAAGTTGTAAGAGCTCAAACTGAGAGGGATATCTTAAGTTTATTGGATCATCCTTTCCTTCCTACGCTTTATTCACATTTTGAGACGGAGAAGTTTTCGTGTTTGCTCATGGAGTTTTGCAGTGGTGGAGACCTGCATTTGCTTAGGCAGCGTCAACAGGGCAAGCATTTCTCAGAGCAAGCAACAAGGTTAACTCTTCATACTAGGATTATGTTTGCTTTATTGATACTTTAGTTCTTAGTCACCAATTAGGCTGCCTTATAAGATAGCTAAATATTGTTTGATCGATATATTGAAAGTCAATAGTGATGAAGAACAAAAAAGTGAGTGCTTGATTATCATTTCATGGAAAAATGATTACTATCTGGGGAAGTTGGAAACTGACAACTAAAATAATTGCTGTTATTTATTTATTTATTATTATTTAAACTGTTGCGTTTGTAATTGTGATAGATCCTGTATTGTTGATGTGAAAAATTTATGAATAGGATCTATGTATCGTCCATAAAATTTGATAAGAATGTCTTTTTTCGAATTATGATCAGCTTAGCGAGTCATTAGGTATAAATTCAATTGTCTTTCTTGAATCTCAACTTGGATAGACAGATAATGTAAACCATATCAATTATTTGTTAATCTCCGTAATATACATAGATCCTCTAGATAATCAAAATTTTGTTTTAATTGGTAGGTTTTATGCTTCAGAAGTGTTGCTAGCTCTTGAGTATCTGCACATGATGGGAGTTGTATACAGGGACTTGAAGCCTGAAAATGTTTTGGTGAGGGAAGATGGACATATTATGTTATCAGATTTTGACTTATCACTAAGATGCTACGTGAATCCCACCCTTGTTACATCCAGCAATGATCCATCTTGTGCAATCTCTTCATATTGCATTAAGCCATCATGCATTGATCCAGCTTGCAAATTCCCAGTTTGTGTAGAGCCTTCTTGTTTCCAACCCTCTTGCTTTAAACCTCGACTTTTTAACTCAAAAACAGCAA